TGCCTCTTCCTCCTCCTTCTCTTCCTCCTCTGCCTCGTCCTCCTCCTTCTCTTCCTTTTCCTCCCCCCCTCCTCTTTCCTTCTCCCCCCTGGCGCGCGTGATGAACAAAAATATCGCGCCCCGCGGGGTCTATTCATCAGCCCCGGTCTGTCCATTTGTTAATCACAAGCTGACAGTAGGGATCCGTTCTACAAGACTCGCAGTCGGATGTCGGGCAGGGCAATGATCTCGAGAGGGTACGCGATGCATGGTGGAGCATGGCATGGCATGGCGTAGAAGAGCGCGGCAGAGCGTAGGATACCATAGCATGGCGTGGCATTGCGCAGTGAAGCACTGTATCAAAGAATTGCAGCTCCAAGCATGGCATCGCACAGCGGTGCAGAACACAACACAGCACAGCATGTCATGGAATGGCGCCAGGTTCCTTGGAGGGTAAAAGGATCGTCTTCGAGAGGTCTGGGCTGGTCTGGAGTCGTGGCTCCATTTCTAGCTCCTTGGGCTCCCCGAAAAGCTCCACACAAGGCGGGGCTGATGGAGAGCATCCGCTGGCTCTGCTTTCAACATCGCCTTCTCAAAGCAGAAACGGGGCTCCCGCTTGATACTTCCCTAAAACGACGACGCCCCCAAATGAGGGGGGCTTCTGCGGTCCAGAAGATCAACGAGTCGGCACCGAATGTGTAATCACTTCCGATGGTTTTTTCGGGGGGCCATTTTCTAAATTGTGAAACCTATTTGGAAGGACCGGAAACGCCCGCGCTGCAGCGGGAGCACGATTAGGAACAACCAGAAGCGCAGAAAGATGGCCAGCGCTTTAGCGGGAGCAACAAAAAAACAACCTAAGCGAAAATCAATTACCCGGGAATGCTGTGGAAAAAAGAAGTACGCGGAGGGGGGGCGAACATTTTCCGCACGTCATCAGGGGAGAGAGGAGAGTAGTATTCATATGGTGTAAACTGTAGAGGAGAGAGAAGGGAGAAGGGAGGAGGAAAGGTCTAATGCTTAACCTCGCACGTGCCGCAGAGTGGCAACTTGAAGCCTCTGGCTATCGGAACCTCCCTGAGGCACACGAATCTTGTCTCCGTCCACCGAGGGTCCGCTCATACTGTGGATCAGTGCCAGTTTAGGCTGGCATGACGACGACCTGCCAATGTCTGCGCTGTGGCGTGCAAGCCCGTCATCGAGCTTTGGTCGTTGCACCCATGGCTCCAACCCTCGTCCCACCAGCATGCTTGTCTTTGGGGAGAGAAGGGGGACAACGGCAAAAAAACTTAGCCACTCTCATGCTTATGAACGTTGGCAACCGCTATAGGCAGCGCAGTCCGAGCCAGACTTCCCCATCTAGGCTCTGACCTTACGGGCTCGTGGCTTGGAGCGATGTGGAACGAGCTTTTGCTCATCCGGATACTTGCGGTTGGGAGCCACACTTGGAGCCCCCCTATCTGCCTCCCTCTTCTCCCAACCGTCTCCTTGCTTCTTCTCCTTGCCCTCCTCCCGTTCTTCACCTACGTGGCGTTTGTCCTCCGTCCCTCGAGGAGACGTGGAACAGGTGATCTCCGTTGGAATAGATGCCTGGGTTGGCGCGGGGCTCGTTCCAGTTGGACCTCGATTCTCACCTTCCATCTCCCTCGTCCCTCCTGTTGCCGCCTCGGGTCTGGCGGGAGGGGGAGGAGAAGGAGGAGGAGGAGGGCGAAGGTGGGGAGGAGGAGGAGGAGGAGGAGGAGGAGGAGGGAGGAGGGAGGAGGGAGGAGGAAGAGGAGGAAGAGGATGAGGAGGAGGCGAAGGAGGCGGAGGAGCGAGCAGGGAGCAGGGAGGAGGGAGGAGGGAGCAGGGAGGGAGGAGGGAGCAGAGGAGGGAGCAGGGAGCAGGGAGCAGGGAGCAGGGAGGAGGGAGCGGAGCAGGGAGCAGGGAGGGAGGGAGGAGGAGGAGGAGAGGAGGAGGAGGAGGAGGGAGGAGGAGAGGAGGAGGAGGAGGAGGAGGAGGAGAGAGGAGGAGGAGAGAGGAGGAGAGAGGAGGAGGAGAGAGGAGGAGGAGAGAGGAGGAGGAGAGAGGAGGAGGAGAGGAGATAGGAGGAGGAGGAGGAGGAGGAGGAGGAGGAGGAGGAGGAGAGGAGGAGGAGGAGGAGAAGTAGAGGAGGAGGAGGAGGAGGAGGAGGAGGAGGAGAAGAGAGAGAGAGAGAAGAGGAGGCGGAAGAGAAGGAGGAGGAGGAGGAGGAGGAGGAGGAGGGGAGGAGGGGGAGGGGAGGAGGGACAGAAGACGGAGGAGGAGGAGGCGGAGGAGGAGGAGGAGGAGGAGGAGGAGGAGGCGGAAGAGGAGGAGGAGGAGGAGGAAAGAGGAAGAGGAGGAGGAGGAAAAGAGAAGGAGGAGGAGGAGGAGGAGGACGGGGAGGAGGAGGAGGAGGAGGAGGAGAGGAGAGGAGGAGGAGGAGGAGGAGGAGGAGGAAGGAGAGGAGGAGGGAGGAGGAAGTTAGGAGGAGAGGAGGAGGAGGAGGAGGAGGCGGAGGAGGAGGAGGAGGGGAGGAGGAGGAGGAAGAGGAGGAGGAGGAGGAGGAGGAGGAGGAGGAGAAGGAGGAGGGGAGGAGAGGAGGAGGAGGAGGAGGAGGAGGAGGAGGAGGAGGAGGAGGAGGGGTGGAGAAACCCAGGTCACCCAACTGCGCGCATCGCTCCCCCGGCGGTGCGCGGCGCGCGGCTCCCTTCGCGCCCTCGCACCCCCGCGCCACTCCCTTGGAGAAGGGCTGACGCTCTCGCCGCGCAAAGCGTGGTTGTGGGGAAACCAAAGGGTACCGATACCGCTGCTCCCCGGGCCTCTCCCAGGGAGCGTTCTGACCATGGTTCCGAAGCGAATCCATCGGTGTCGACGAGGGCTTTCCAGGAGGCCCAAAAGGGGAAAACGAGGGAAGGGTTGCGGCATGGGTACCCTTTCCTCGCGCCCCCGCGGGCGACCTTGAAGACGACACGAGCGGAGGCCTCCTAGATGGGGTCCGAGTAGATGTTGTCGGTGGATCGCGCCGCATCGCCTGTGTAACGCCGATGCATCCACAATGCTTGGGCAGCATATCGACCACGTCGGCGGTTCCCCCGGTATCCGCCACGCGGTTCCCCCAGCTGCGCCCCCTTAGCTTAGATTTGGCTATTTCATCTTAGCTTAGCCTAGCTTAACTGGGCTTAACTCAGCTTAGCTAAGTTTAGTTTAGCCTAGCCCAGCCTCGCTTAGCTTAGCCTAGCCGAGCTTAGCGCAATTCAGCTGAGCTTAGCTTGGCTTAGCTTAGCCCAGCCTAGCTTAGCTTACCTTACCTCAGCTTAGCGCAGTGCAGCACTAGCACAGCATAGCAGAGCGTAGCCAACCATAGCATAGCACAGACCAACATAGCATCGCATAGTATAGCATTGTTCAGCATAGCACAGCGCAGCTCATCACATCACATCATAACATAGCATAGTGCAGTGTGTCATAACAGAGCATTAGCGCAGCATCGCATGCCATAGCATAGCCTACCATAGCATAGCGCAGCATAACATAGCATATCATCGCATAACGTAACGCATCATATCATAGCATATCATAGCGCAACGTAGCAAAACACAGCATAGCCTAGCATAACACAGCGCAGCCGAGCGTACCCTAGCATAGCATAGCATAGCGCAGCACAGCACAACAAAACGAAGCACAGCATAGCATAGCGCAGCGTAGCATTGCATCGCACAGCAGCAAAGCAAGGGCAAAGCAACAGCAGCAACAGCAAAGCAAAACACAAGCAACGCAAAACCAGACCTGCAGTGCTGAACAACCTGCAGCTCTTGCAGGAGCCGCGAGCAGTGCTGAACAGCCTGCAGCTCTTGCGAGCAGTGCTGAACTGCCTGCAGCTCTTGCAGGAGCCGCGAGCAGTGCTGAACAGCCTGCAGCTCTTGCAGGAGCCGCGAGCAGCGTTGAACCTAGTGCAAGCAGTGCTGAACAGCCTGCGGCACTTGCAGGAGCCGCGGGCAGTGCTGAACAGCCTGCTGTCGCTGGGTGCACAGCAAAGCAAGACAAAGCAAAGCGCTGTCCTGGTAGACAGCCTGGGGCGGAGGCAAAATCATCAACGCCTTGCTGTTTAACGGAGAGCGCATCGTTCCAGTGAGCGCTGTTGATACGCGGAGGAACGCTTGGGATCAGTGCTACTACCAGAGCTGCAGAGCGAATGAAGTGTTTGCTTGCATTCTGCATCACAGCGACTTCGGTGACCGCCTCTTGCAAATCGGCTGCGAGCACATCCCTGATCAATTGCGACGGCCGGCTGTTAACTTGCAGCGTTTCTGCGACAAGATCTGCGAGTTGCGGAAGGGGAACCACTCACGGCGATATGTGTACGACTGGTTATTCGACACAGTCCCTGCGCGCCAAGAGTGGCCCCGGCGACTCCACGACAGCGGGGAGGTTGTGGTCACACCACTGGTGAAACCGCATATTCCAGCGCCGATGATGCACCGATCTGGGAGTTGCTGCTGCACAATTTCGTAGGAACGTTCGGTGTAGCAAGTGTTGCACAACCTTGCTCAATGCCAAGTCGTGCGGTGTAGACCAGAGACGGAGCATTCTCAAGCACACCCGGTGAGCGAATGCGAAAACATGCGTGTGTGTGTGTGTGCGCGTCTGTGCGCAGGAGCAAAAACAAAAACAAAACCAAAGCAAAAACAACAGCAAAAGCAAAGGCAAGGCAATGCAAACCAAAAGCAAAGCCAATGCGAAAGTGTAGATGTAGATGTAGGTGTAGATGTAGATGTAGGTGTAGATGTGGATGTAAGTGTAAATGTATATGTATATGTAGGTGTAGAGACGAGACGAGAGACGAGACGAGCCGTACGCCCACTGGCGCGTCGGCAGGCGCTACATGATACATGAATTCAAACGTTCGGAGAGGGGGGAGAACGCACGAAGGAAGGGAGGGATGCGCGACGAGCGGGGACGGGAGGCGAGGCGGAGCGAGAGGGGGAGGGACGAGCGATAAGGGGGGGACGACCGAAGAAAACGCGAGGGGGGGAGAAATGCGCGCGCGCTGCAGCCCACCCGTCAGGACGCGCATGCCGCGTTCACGTGCTCTCTCCAGATATGCTCGTCTTGAATGAGATGCTCCCATCGGCGACCTTCTCCGGCAGCTCGAACGACGTGCGGATGCTTAGCCCATTCCAATCTTGGCCGTCCACACTTGCGAACGTACCGGTCTGTCTGGTGCTGCCACGTGCCGGGGGTGAAGACTGAGTCCCTCAGCGGGTCGCCCACCTGTGCCCTTGCTACTTTGCCGAACATCAACAATCGATGGCGCAGGAGACATCTCGAGAGTGGCGCCTGGCCCGTTCGTTGACGGGCCAGGCGCCACTCTCGAGATGTAGGTGTAGATGTAGATGTAGCTGTGAGTCTCGCTGTTGATGTTGATGTAGATGTAGATGCAGGTGTAGATGTTGATGTAGCTGTCGGTTTCGATGTAGATGTTGCTTTCCTAGATGTTCCAACTCCTAGGTAGGGTCGCGCTGGGATAATGGCGTTTGTTCTTCTTGGACTCCAGCCCAGAGGACGCCGATCATGGCCATGCCGACGCCTGGGCCGCGGGTGTGCGTCGACATCCCTGGCAGGTGCCCAGCCACAGAAGGCGGCATCCGAGGGGGCAGGCCTCCCCAGAAGGCGGCGGGGCCTCTCAGAAGCCCGCTCTGGCCTTCTTCTGAAAAGCCATCTGTCTCGTCGTCGTGGTCGTGGCCGTCGTCTTCGTCGTCGTCGTCGTGGTCGTCGTGGTCGTCTTAGTCGTCGTAAAAGCTTCTGGGCAAGCTGCAGGCCTTCCGAGCTTTTCCCGAGAAGGCCCTCCACCTCTCGAGCAGGGACCGCCCGTCCCAGGCACTCCCACAGAGGCCTAGCACGTCTTCTCCTTGGAACCAGAGGATGTCCTGATAACAAGAGCAGCTGTTCTTAGAACACGAAGCCGATGGAGCGAAACAAGACGGTCTCGGCCAGACATGTTCTGGGACCTTTTCGCGCAAGCCTTGTATTGATTAACATGGCTTAAGCACATATTTACCTGTTTCAGAGATGCTCCTTGTCTTTCCCAAATCAGAGCTTGCCTGTAGGGGTCCTAGCGGATTCATATGTCACCTACGTCGCCAATTTCGGTGGCCGGGCCCGGTTGCCCCGGTGCCCGTGGGTGCCTGGGTGCCCGGGGGCCTGGGTGCCCTGGGGTGCCCAGAGGTGCCCGGGGGGGCCCGGGGGGGCCCGGGTGCCAAGGGGTGCCCAGGTGCTATATCGCCCTTTAGCCCTATAGCCCTTTAGCCCTATAGCCCATTAGCTCTATAGCCCTATAGCCCTAGTATAGCCCTATAGCCCTATAGCCCGATAGCTCTATAGCCCTATAGCCCGATAGCTCTATAGCCCAATAGCCCTATAGCCTGATTTCTCTATATAGCGCTATAGCCCAATAGCCCAATAGCCAAATAGCCCAAATAGCCCATATAGCCCTATAGCCCTATATCCCTATGGCCTTACAGCCCTATAGCCCTAAAGCCCTAAACAACATATGATTGGGTTATCTGGTATCGTGATTAACATATTTAAAACATTGTTAAGACACTTGGAAATTACGTGACCACATGCCTCCTCTCCATGGATCGTCTTCCCCGACGCAAGCCAAAAAGAGGTTCTGAGCACATCTTGCTTGGTGGGCCCCCAGGCGCGCCAGGACGCTCCGCCACTGCTCGCGCCTCGGCACCTCCCCCGCGGGCTCGCCGCCGCTCGTTTGTTTCATGTTTTGTTGTTTTTTTGTCCGCCGGCGCACCTCGCCACAGTGCGTGTGCCGCCCCCTCGCCGCCCCTGGCCCTCCTCTCCCCTCTGGACGACCGAAATTAGGGAAACGACCAATGGCATAAACGTAGAATACACGGAGGAGGAGGAGGTTGAGGAGGAGGAGGAGGAGGAGTAATGGAAACGACCAATGGCATAAACATAACATTTCGGAACTCCGCGCGGAGTTCTCGGATCGGCGCCGGAGCCCTCTGGCGCGCTCCGCGCGGCAAGGAGGGGGGTCAAGCGCCGATCCGAGAAATCCACGCGGACCTCCGAGTTTTCATGGTTATGCTGCTGTTCGCTTCCCCAGAACTGGGTACGGAAGAAATGGGCACTGGTGGCCCAAAACCGACGGCGGCCGCTGCTGGGCAGGCGGCCTTCTGTCTCGTGGCAGGGCAACGTCCGTGGCGGCGCGAACAGCGGGTCCTGTTCAGAATGAGCAGGAACTGCTTTTCGGCATTGCGAGAAGAAAAAAAAAAAACGTAATCACAAACTTTTGGCGCTCCGCGCGGATTTCTTGGATCTGCGCTGGACACCCTCCATGAAGCGCGGAGCGCGCCAGGGGCGGCGCTGGAGGCGCCGCCAGGGGGGGGGGGGGCGGCGCAGATCCAAGAAATCCGCGAGGAGTGCCAAAGTTTATCCATCTGTCGGAAGAAGTAAGGTGGAAACATGAAGTAGGAAGGCGTTGAAAATAGACTGGGTGTCCGCCTGCCCCCTACAGAGGACGGAAAAGGTGAAGGCACTCGATCATTGAAGTAGGAAGGCGCCTCGAGTAGCTTGGAATCTGGGAATCCCACAATACCTACTTTCAACGACCGAAGGGTATGTTTATGGCCTTTCCTCTTCCTCGAATTCTTGCCCTACGTGCCCAAGCCGTTCGCGCCGATCCCCGTCTCTCCTTGGGGGGCCCGGGAGGCCTCTGCAGGCACAGCACGCAGGTCCTCTGCGGGGGGCCTCAACGGGGCCACACTGCACAGCAAGAGAGCAGCGCTTCGCAGACCTCGGCCCTCGAGCCCTGGGCCCTCTGAGAGACCACCAATCTATCTCGAGGCCTCGATGCGAAGCTCGAGCCGAAAGCTTCGATACTCAACGCTCCGAAGGGCCCCCGCAGAAGCGCGACGCGAACCTCCTCCTCCTCCTCCTGCCGCCTCCTGCCGCCTTGCCAGCCTTGGAGGCCCAGCACAAGCCCGCGCCCGCGGCGGGGTGCGGGCGCGGGCCCGCGGGTAGAGCGGGCAGTTGGGCACGCGTGGGCCTCACTGGCAGGCCACGGTGCTCACCGCGTGCGCGGGCATCGACCCCGACCGCCAAGTGTAGGACCAGGTGCCCCAGCCCCTGCACGCCCCCGCGTGCTCCCCCTCCGCGTTGACGACGATGATGCCCCCCTGGAAGTTCGGGTAGAAGCGGACCACGCGAGCGATGGCGTCCGACGCCGCGTCCGCCGGCGTCTTGCCCGCGGCCATCGACTCCACCGCCTGGTAGCACGGCAGCAGCCGCATCATCTGGTCCCCGTCCCCGGTGGCCCCGCAGGCGCCGTCTCCCTTGCGGGCGTACGAGCCAGCGCCTGCGATCGGCGAGTCGCCGACTCGGCCGTGGACCTTGTGGCTCGCGCCGTTGGTGGAGGTGCCGCTGGCCACGCGACCATCGTAGAAGAAGAAAAAACGGCATCAACATAAACTTTTGGCGCTGCGCGCGGATTTCTTGGATCTGCGCTGGATCCCCCCACTCCCTGGCGCGCTTCGCGGCGCTGGAGGCGCCGCCTGGGGGGCCCAGAAATCCGCGCGGAGCGCCAAAAGTTTCTGTTTATGGCATTCTTTCTTCTTCGACATCGGCATCGACCACGACCATGCCTGGGGATACCAAAAAGAACCAATACCACTACTCCCCGGACCTCTCCTGGGGTGCGTTCTGACCAGGATTTCGAGGCGAGTCTGGCGGTGGCGACGAGGGCCTCCCAGGAGGGATCACGAAGGGGAAAACGATGGCACGATGGAAGGGTAGAGATATGGGCACTCCGAGTTTCTTAATAAGCGTCGGGTGGGCGTCACCCCCGCCGACAGCCCCACATCGACCCCCGTCGCGGGCAGCCACCGCGAGCCGAAGGCGCTCCAACCAGAGTCGCGGCGTGACGACGAGGCGAGGATGACCCCCCTCGGGGGGGTACCCCCCCACGCTTGTGAAGAAACCCGAAACACCCTTTCCTCCTCGGAATGCCGATCGTGTCGTGGTTGCCGGGCCCGGAGCGCGGCAGGAGCCGCTCGTCGGTGCCGCCGCCGCGCGCCGGCGGGGCCTCCTCGCCGGGGCCCCTCGGCCTGTAGGGCCCGCACTGGGCCGAGGGGTCTGGCACCACGGCGCCGGCCTTCCAGTCAAGTCGGGCACGTCCCTCCACAGGAGGGACATTCAAGCAGGGTCCGGTCCAAAAATAGTCGGGCGACGATGTTCCAACTATGGTTTTCCTGTGTTGGAGATTTTAGGAGGGCTATCTTTTACTTTTCGTCCAGAGTTCCCCTGTAGGAGGACATGCCCGACCTAACCTTCCAGTAGTTCGGCTGGCAGTTCTTGGCACGCCACTCGTCGAACATCCTCTTAGGGGAACGAAGAATGACACAAACATAAAAACTCAGAGGTCCGCGCGGATTTCTCGGATCCGCGCTGGGGCCTCCCTGGCGGCGTCTCTGGCGCCGCCCCTGGCGCGCTCCGCGCGCCAGGGAGGTGGGTCCAGCGCCGAGATGTTATGTTTACGTCATTGCTCGTTTCCCTAATCCTCGCGGACGCCTCCGTCGTCAGGGGCGCTCGGGTGAAGCCCATCTGGACGGCGAAGTCGGTCGCGGACTCGCCGGCCAGCATGGTGTGCGTGGTGGAGTTCATCACGAAGCGCGCAACGGAGATGGCGTCCCTGACCCAGCGCAGATCGCTGACGGATCCTACGTCCATGGTCTCCCCGTCCATGATCATCGCGTCCAGCGTGGTCTCCCCAGCCTCGTCTGGGGAGCCCCCGTACCTAGAGGCCTCCCATATAGGGTCCGAGTAGATGGGGTTGGAGGATCGCGCCGACGTCGTCGATGCCACGCCGATGCATCGCCAGTGCATCGGCGATGTATCGGCGACGTCAGCGACGCATCATCGCCGTCGGCGTGGGGAAAATCGTGTCCCACATTCGGGGGCGCGCAAACATGGATTAACGATCCAAGGATTTGGAAGGCGGTCGCCAAATCCATGGATCGGGGGAGGTGCCCTCCCCAACATGCGGCCGGTGCCGCCTCGCTCGGCGGCAGAAATCTGCGATTCCCTACGGGAACGGGGCCCGTCGCTAATCCATGCCCCCTTAATCCATGCTTGCGATCGCCTGAACATTGCCGATGCATCGGCGATGCGGTGCGATCCCCCGACCCCCATCTGCCCGGACCCCATCTGGGAGGCCTGGAGCACCCCACCGAGCCGTCGCACCTCTCCTTTGGACGTCCGAAATGCGTAATCACGGACCAAAAGTGGGCACGAGGAGGAGGAGGAGGACGAGGAGGAGGAGGAGGAGGAGGAGGAGGAGGAGGAGGAGGAGGAGGAGGAGGAGGAGGAGGAGGGAGCCACCGACAGCGGCCGCTGTTGGGCAGGCGACCCTCCTGTCTCGAGCGGGCAGCGTCCGCGGCGGCGCCGACGGCGCATCCTGTCCAGAATCGGGAGCTGCCCTCGGTCCAGAATCGGCCGCTGGCTTAGGGGGGACGCATCGACCTGGGATCGACGATACATCGTCGATGGATCTGCGACGGGCCCCCGATAGCGAATCCGCAACCTCCTGGGCGGGCTGGGGATATCGGGCCCCCATCGGCGATCCACGGGCGAGTGGGGATCGACGCGTCCCCCCCTTGGCTTGAGCCGGGCATGTCCCTCCACAGGAGGAGAGTTCAAAAATAGTCAAGAGATAGTCTGGGGACGATTTGTACGTTTGGGCTATTCTTGAATATCGTTTAGGCTATTCCAAGGTTTTCGCCCAAGATCCGCTGGTAGGAGGACGTGCCCGACCTGACCCTAGGCCTGTCCCCCCCTGTCGTTGCCGCAGACCCGTGCCGCCCCGCTCCCGCTCGCAGAAGGAGCAGCCCGCCTCCACCGCGTCGAGCCTGCTGCCCCCCGCGGCCAGCGCGCTCCACGCCACGTCCGTGGCGTTCTGGATGGTGGGCTCGTTTCCACCGCCGCCACCACAAGCAGGAAGGGGAGGGGGCCCTCCTCCTCCTCCTCCTCCTCCTGCTCCTCCTCCTCCTCCTCCTCCTTTTCCTCCACCTCCTCCTTTTCCTCCACCTCCTCCTCCTCCTCCTCCTCCTCCTTTGCTTCCACCTCCTTTCCCTCGGGGAATGAAGAATGGCATAACCATAAAAAATCGGAGGTCCGCGCGGATTTCTCGGATCGGCGCTAGACCCCCCTCCCTGGCGCGCGGATTGCGCCAGGGGCGGCGCTGGAGGCGCCGCCGGGGGGGCCCCAGCGCGGATCCGAAAAATCCGCGCGGACCTCCGAGTTGTTATGTTTATGCCATTGTTCGTTCCCATCCTCCTCCTCCTCCTCCTCCTCCTCGTCCTTCTCCTTTTCCTCCTCCTCCTTCCCCCCTCCAACTTATGGTGGTGGTGGAACACAGGCCCATCACTGGAAGCCGTTCACCGCCCACGTGTTGCCCACGAAGGGCAGCGCGGCCGAGCGCCGCTGGCCCTGGCAGCGCGGGCGGCGAGCAGGTCCGCGCCCTCGCGGCCCGCACTCTGGGGCGCGGTCCCACGGATAATTAGGCGAGGAGGAGGAGGAGGAGGAGGCAGGAGGAGGAGGAGGAGGAGGAGGAGACCCAGGACGCTCCTCGATGGCCCCCGCCGGGAAGAAGAACCACACGTCCGAGCGAGGCCAAGGTCCGTAAGACCACGCCCAGCAACCCAGACCGCGAGGAGCCGCGGATCTACAGTGGAGGCCAGTGCACAAGAAACCTTCCACAAGAAACCCAACCCTGAGACCCGAGGGCGTCCATGGATCTTTGGTGTGGGAACGTCACGCTCTCCATCGCAAAACCATCGAAACCCAAGAAACCCAGGGCACCCTGGAGGCAAGCAGGGTGTTTCTTGGCACGGGCCCCCACGGACAGGCGGCGACATCGGAACCCAGGCGTCCTCGCTCTGTGAAAAAATGCACGGCGGGAGGTGTTTTTTGGCCGTGTTCGGCCTCTGGAGGCCCTTCCCGGGCATCGGGGCAGTCCAAACACGACCCAGGATGAGAAACCCGTCCTGGGGGAGGGGTCCAGACCTCTGGGGGTCGACGCTGTGGAAAAATCACGACGTCAGGGGGTCTGGGTTGGAAGCACCCCTGCTCAGAAGGCGCGGGCCTTCCCAGCGGATGTGGGGCCGGCGCCTTCCAAGAAGCGGCCTGCTTCCAAGAAGCCCCCCCTCCCCTCCCCCTACCCTTGAATCGGGCGTGTCCCTCTACCGGAGGAATATTCAAAATTGTCAAAGGGTGCAGGGGACCATTTGTGGACTCTTTGGACATATTTTTGAATACTTCAATCGCTTCGCTCACTCCGCCTGCCCATATTTGGGCACTGCTGCGTCGACTGGCCGAGTGGTCGTTGGCGGTGTTGAGCTGCAGGGGCGCCTTCTAATAAGCGGCCTGCTTCCAAGCAGCCCCGACCCCTCCCTCTACAGGAGGGGCATTCAAAGGTTGTCAAAGAATAGTCTGGGGATTATGTGTGGACCATTTGTGGGCCCTGCTCCGCAGCAGCTATCGGGCCTCCCGAGTCGAGGGGGGGGGGCGGGGCCGTGGCTGGGACTTCGCCGCGCGCTCGGCGAAAGTCCGAGCCCCTCCCCCGCCGCCCATCGAGATGCCCGAGCAGTTGACCGGCGAGGGTAGCGCTCGGAGTGCGCCGCCGATCAAATGGAAGGGGCCCAGGGACACACAAATGAATACACACAAACCCCAGGACCCCGCATACTTTCCCATGCTTTCGGGGTTTTCGTCCTCCTCCCCCCTTGCCCATATTTCCCCAAACTTTCCGGGGAATCGACGATTCACTGTGTCTGTGTGTTCTTGCCCCTCCTGAAGATGCGCGGTCGCACGGACACGCTCCGCGCGGCGAAACGGCGCCCCGTGTCCGCGGGCTCGCGGCACACGTGCCCGGGCCCGCGAGAGCCGCGGAGACGGCGCGCCCCTTCGCGGACGCCCCGCGCAGAGCGCATCCGCGCGGCCGCGTCTCCGCGGGAGCGCGCCCCGCAGTCCAGAGGCGGGCGTGGCCTCGCAAGCCCGGGCTCCCCGCCCCGATCTCGCCCGGCACTTCTTCACAAGAAACGCCAGAAAGGGGCACACTGCGCACCCTCTCGACCGAGTGGGCCGTCTGCCAGGCTCCCTGTCTCCGCCCCCCCTCCGTGTCCGCCCGCCTGCCTGTCGGCAAGACCACGCCCAGCAGTCCAGACCTTGCCACCGCTCGGACGTCTGTTCCCCGTGCATTTTCGTGGGCTGCGTGCGAGGTTCTCTTGCCAGATGACCCAGGACGCTCCTCGAGGGTCCCCACCGAGAAAAAAAAACACACGTCCGAGCGAGGCCAAGGTCCGTAAGACCACGCCCGGCAGCCCAGGCCGCGAGGAGACGCGGATATACAGTACGGACAACTGCTCTCCTCCTCCTCCTCCTCCTCCTCCTCCTCCTCCTCCTCCTCCTCTTCCTCCCTCCTCCCCCCCCCCCCTCCTCCTGCTCCTGCTCCGCCTCCTCCTGCTCCTCCTGCTCCTCCTCCTCCTCCTCCTCCTCCTCCTCCCTCCTCCCTCCTCCCTCCTCCCCCCTCCCTCCTCCGTATTCCCTCCTCCCGCCCGGCAGCCCAGACCGCGAGGAGCAACGGATATACAGTACGGACAGCTGCTCTCGGCCCACGAGGCCTGCAGCAGGAGCACTGCGCCCGCGTCGCCGTCGGCGGGCGATGCCGCCTCGTCGGCGGCCTGCGCCCGCGCCAGCCGCCTCTGGCGGTGCCCACAAAGGGGGCAGGGGGAGGTCGGGCATTTCCTCCTACAGGCGGACTTTGGGGAATAAATCCGCCGGCCCCCTTGTGGGGCCACCAGGCTGTAGGCCCGTGATTCGCAGTTTCCTGTACCAGTTGTAGTTTGTAGTTTCCAGTGTTACAGTTCTGCTTCTTGCTGGTTACTGTAACTAGTTGATTGACCGCGCGAGGGGAGGGAGGCCCAAACCAGATTTTTAGCACCACCTGGGCGCGTTGTCTGAATTGCTGGGGGAGCTCAAAATCGACACCCCTCACGCAGATCCGCGGGGTCAGGGTCCAAAAACACAGGGGATTTGCCACATGTCTGAAATTCGGTGCCACCCCTCACGCAGATCCGCGGGGTCAGGGTCCAAAACCTGCTCTTCTATGGCCCATTCTCCGAGAGAGGGGGCCGGCGGCAGGGGGCGAAGCCCTTACGGATAATCAGAACATATTCAAAATACTCAAACATATCTCCAAAGAGTTCACACATCGTCCCCAGCATTCTTTGACAACTTTTGAATATTCCTCCTCTAGGGGGACACGCCCAACTTAAGGGTAAGGGGGAGGGGAGGGGGAGCTTCTTGGAAGCAGGCCGCTTCTTGGAAGACGCCGGCCCCACATCCACTTTGAAGGCCCGCACCTTCTGAGCAGGGGTGCTTCAACCCAGACCCCCGACGCCGTGATTTTTCCACAACGTCGACCCCCAGAGGTCTGGACCTCTTTCCCGGGACCGGCTTTTCATCCCGAGCCGTTTTTTTTTGACGGTCCCGACGCCTGGGCAGGGCCCCCACAGGCCGAACACGCCGAAAAAACCCTCCCGCCGCGCTTTTTCCGCAGCGCGAGGTCTGGGAAGAAGCCTGCCCCCTTCCCCCAATGCCCCCCTTCTGCGCCCGCGCCAGCAGCCTGCCCAGCGGCCACGGCGCCGCCAGGAACAGCGCGGCGGCGCCGAGGCTGCGCGGCAGCGGGCCGCGGGCGGCGGGCGCTCCTGGCGGTGTCATGGCCGCGCGCGCGCGCTTCCGAGGGCGGGGCCCCCGCGGGCGCGCCCGGGGCCCGAGCGGAGCGGCGACAGCGGCGGCGGCGGCGGCGGCGGCGGCGGCGCGGCGGCAACAAGGGACCCGGACCTCCTCGCCCCGTGGAAAAATCACGGCGGGAGGGTGTTTTCGCTGTTGTCGGGCCCCGGGGCCGTCGAAAAACGGCTCGGGATGAGAAACCGGTCCCGGGGAACGGGTCCAGACCGGGTCCATGGGGGTCGGCGTTGTGGAGAAATCACGACGTCGGAGGTCTGGGGAGGCCCCACGAGGCCCAACGTCGACGGCGCCGGCGGCGACGATGGCGGAGACCCCACGGGGAGGAAGGCGAGGAGGAGGAGGAGGAGGAGGAGGAGGAGGAGGAGGAGGAGAAGATGAGGAGGAGAGGAGAGGAGGAGGAGGAATGAGGAGGAGAGGGAGAGGAGGCGAGGAGGAGGAGGTAGAAGGAGGAGGAGGAGGGAGAGAGGAGGATGAAATGAGGGGAGGAGCAGTGGGCAGGAGAGGGAGGGAAGGATGAGAGGAGGAGAGAAGGAGGAGGAGGATGGGAGTAAGGAGGAGGCCCCAGGGGCCACAGGAGGGACACACGAGTCTCCAGAGAGAGCGGAGGAGAGAGGGATGAAGGGAGAGAGGAAAGGAGGAAGGAGGAGGCGGAGAGGAGAGAGGAGGAGGAGGAGGAGGAGAGAGAGGCGTGAGGATGAGGAGGAGGAGGGAGGAGGGAGGAGGAGGAGGAGGAGAGGAGGAGGAGAGGAGGAGGAGGAGGAGGAGGAAGAGGAGGAGGAGGAGGAGCCCAGCGTAGAGGGGGAGTTCGTCCAGCCCTACCGCTCTCGGGGGAGGGAATGCGCGGGCGCTCCTGGCCTCGACGGCGTCGAAGGCGCCCGCGACGATGCGGCGCGGGGGTGTCAAGCCGTGTTTATAGCACGGGAGGTCAATGGGCAATGTACGAGAGGGGGAGAAGCGGGGGAGACGGCAGAGGGCAGCAGCATGGAGGGCTCGAGGGACGAGCCAGAGGGGAACGATCGGTGAGCGGCAGCTGGGAGCACAGGGCCAGCGGGCGGCGACGGCCGCGCGTGGCACTTAGGGAACTATGGAGGATGGTGGCGTGAGCGGCAGAGGCAGGGAGCAGGCCAGAGGACAAGAGAGCGGGGGTCGAAGATCGGGGAGAGGTCGAGAAAACCAAAGATCTGAAAGCAGAGAGTAAAGGGAGCGATGGGATGGCAGGGATCACGGGCGCCGTCGCCCAGCACGTACCCGAAGGGCAGGTGGGAGAAATGTCGGTAGGGCCCGGGCTATGGGTGGAGGCCGTGGCCGACCACCCATCGCCCCCGCCGCCGCCACGGTGGCCGAAGCCTCCAGAGATACTCGGCACAGGTCCATCCAGATCCATCAATGTTCCAGCCCGAGCAGTTCCAAACGATCTCGAGCGCGCCACAGTTCCCGCAGAAATCGGAGACGAGGGCGTCCAGGTGCGCGTCAGTCCCACTGATCTCGAGAGCGCCGCCGTTCTGCCCGCAGAGGTCAGAGACGAAGGCGCCCAGGTGCGAGTTGGCCCCGCTGGGCCAGCATTTCCTTCGACACGTGGCGACGGTGAGCCCGAACACGACAACGGGACTTGCGATCTGACGCCGCCAGAGGCAGAGGCCCCCTCGAGGCACCCAAGTCGCGGCGACGTCGAGCCCGAACACGACGACGGGACTTGCGATCTAACGCCGAGGCGCAGAGGGCCCGCATCGAGGCGTCCATCGCGCGGCGACGGCGAGCCCGAACACGACGACGGGACTTGCGTTCTAACGCCCGTGGAGGGTGGCGGAGGCGGCGACGATGCGCCCGAACGCCACAGCGGGACATGCGCTCTAACGCCGCGGTCCTGGACCGAGAGACGAGGAGAAGCACGCCTAGCAGGTGGCGACTCAGGGCCCGCATCCCCAGGCGGGACTTGCGCCCTAATGCCGACCGTTGCAGACGAGG